CACTAATGTTTCTGACTCCAAGTAGACTACGAACGCTGCCAGAAACACCAACCGCTGAAGCACAAACCTCCAGTGCTCATGAAATCTGCAGAAGAAACACCAAGTGAAGGTATAAATAAGTAATGTCTGTTACTGGAGCATTAGGCAACAGGCACACATTATGTGTGCATTGTGTTTTCTACCTTTACACAGCATTTTGCAGTATTCTGGGCTTAACAAAATGACACCAGCTGAAAACCATCTCCTTGGTACCCCAGAACTCCATCCCCAGGTTACCAGCCAGACACTCGCATTTGCTTGTCCCTCTCACACACCTAACTCAGCTCCCAGAGTTTTCCAGGTCGGGGTGCCCACAGACAGTCAAGGCTTTCCCTCCCACCTTCTCTCAGCAGATCTGAGCTGACAAGATCCTTGCTCTTTGAAATGTTCTTGCCAGACACTGTCCCCTTCTGGCAGCAACAAAACACACAGGTGACAAGTTCATCTAGTGTCTGCACAACCAAACAGCCATTTCATGACAGATTTAGAGCTCTGCTTCCAGAAATGCCCCAAACCGAACAACTTAACTGAAATTAAGGGAGCAGCAAATGCTCAGCTCCCAGATACAAGGGTCGCTCCAACAGATAATCAATTTCTTCAGCTTTCTTTTTTTTTTTTAAAGAAAGTTTCTAGAAAAATAATTTAATACTGAGTATTCTTTGTGAAAAGTAATAGTGTTTGAGCAAAAGCATTTTTTTATCTATTGACAAAAACCTCATACTTGTCTATCATGATTTACTTTTCAAAGAGAAAGAAGCATTCAGCCCATACACCTTTAAATCACTGTTCCACAGCAATGATGCCAAATGCCCAGGTAATTCCCATATATGTCTGTGTCTGGCTGGGTGTGATCCTGCGCACCTGTAATACTGATCAGCAGGAAATTTGGTCTTCAGAGACTCCATCTGTGTCCTCACTGTACTAAAGTGCTCACGAGCCTTCTGACATTTCTTTGGGACTGAAAAAGAAACAGCACAGCATTCAGGGAATGAGTATATTCAGGAAATGGATACTTGACAGAGACCAGGGGTTTGTAAGCAAGGTTTTCTAGTGTAGACAGTGCCATTTGTGCTTCTTTGTTGTCCAAGACAGCTACTGACCCTTGGAATCCATCTAAGAAGTATTTCTTTCACACCATGAACCACAGAGGTAAAGGAGAAAGAATCCTGAGTTCCAGGCTGTCTGATCTGCTCTGGGTCTTCTGAGTCATACAGTCAATGGAACAGCAACTTTTCTTTCTCCACATTAAAATCTTATCCTATTTTTTTCTTATCGATCAGAGTTAGGTTATGTGAGGTGCAACATCCCTCCAGGTAACTGCATTTCCTGCTTTTTAATGATGTATTTGCAGAAACTGGGTTTCAGTCTGTCCGGTGTGTGTTACCCTCTGCAGAGCAACGATTTCGTTTCCATACCACCCACTGCCACCTCCCGTTTGCCAGCAGGAGTTACAGCCACGCTGCACCAGCAGCACCAGCGACCGACCAGAGGAGTTAGACCAGAACTTCTTAACTGCAGCCCTCTCACAAATCCTGGCCACGGACCAAGGAAGGCCAAAGATCAACCTGACAGGCTCTCCTGCACGTGTAAAAGCCAGGATTATTCACACAAGATCCACAGAAGCTAAACCTGAAAGCTGTGATGGTTTTTATCAAACAAGCCCTAGTAGATGTCACTTAAGCGTGTTTATAAAATTTCTTTCAGTTAATAAAACATAATTTCTGTTTAAAGAAAAAAGGGATGGAGAATAACATGGGAAAAAATAAAAGCTTCAGGAAGCAGAAGGTGTGAGTGCTCTGTGTGGCAGCCAGGATGAAAGACCCATGTGAAGCTCACTGAGAGCTAAGGGCTGCCTCTGTCGTGAGCTGTCACATAGCCAGGGGGGACAGAGTAAGGAACACATTTGCATTTTGGCTTCTAACACAGGAAACCTGTGACAAAAATAAACAATTAACTGTAAAATTAACTGTAAAGGTTTAGACAGAAGTGCCCAACGACAGACACATAACCCCCAAATTCAAACTATCCTTGTACAGGTATCACCACTGATGTTGCTGTTTTGAGAGCAAAGACACTGAGGTGGCTGCCAGGCTCTGGAGACCCTGCTTGTCACCCTGGCTGACATCAGCTACCAGCAGGCTCACACTGCCCTGGGCAACTTTCTGAGCAGTTCTCAAACTCCATTTTGGACAGGGAGTCAAGGAAGCTTATGCAAGATGTCCTTTTAAAAGCCCCTGGCTGGTATGGGGAACTGTCCTCCATCAAACTTCCAACCATGCCATGTTTCTATTGACAGAGCTCACACCACCACTTACCCTTAGGACAGATTGCTCGTGCAAACCCTTCCCTGTTCTCACTGACTGTCTGTTGTTTCCCTGAGTTTTCATCACTCCCCCTCAGTTGATGATGCAGGAATAAACAAAGGAACCAGGAGGCTGCAGGAGGAAGGAAATCTTCTCCCACTTACACTGGCACAAGCAATAACTGGCAGAATGGCTTCTGCTGGAGCTGCACCAACTGCAGCTGCAATTCAGAGCAACACAGCTGCAGTTACTCAGCATTAGTAACTCTGTCACTTGTGAACTTGCAGTAATTAATAGTATTTTTGACCTTTTTATTATTAGTTAGTATATTTTATTTATATTTTAATATTTTTCTAGTTCAACATAGTTTATTAATAGTGTTAAGTTTTCCTTACATCTTGGAATAAGTAAGTGTAAGGCTAAAAAAATCTTCACGTTACAAAGTACAACCAGAACTCTGCTGCAGTGAGAATAACCCTCTCTTTCATAGTTACAGGAGTCGTTGTTTATCCCTTTTTAATCTCCTAATCATTCTAGTTTCTTTGTAAAAACACAGTACTGACTCAAACAACAAGATGCTGTAGGAAGCCAAACAGACATTTAAGGTACTTACACTGCAGAACTACAGCTACTATCAAATAAAACTGTAGTCTGAGCACATGACATCTGACAGGTGCTGTTCTCCCCCAACAATGCTTCTGTTAATTTGCACTCTATTATTCTGCTGTAAACCTTTATCAATCTAAACATTTATTAACTTTCTTTACTACACTGGTAACTGATGACAAACTGACAGGTCTGTTACCGTGAGTTAACTCCTAACCTATTAAGCATGAATTCATTATTTTTGATATTACAAGAACTATAAACTGAGGCTTTGGGTCTTTGGCTTGGGTTGGAGGGTTTTGTTTGGTTTTTATTTTATTTTTTTTTTCTTCAACTCTTCCAAATCTCTTCTCAGACTCTGCAAGTTCCAGGACCAGCTCTGTCCAGGAATTAAAATTAAGTGCAGGAAAACAGCCCCTGAAGTTGTCATCCACATAACATCCATGGGTTTTCACAGCTTATAAAACTGTCTGCTTGTCTAAATAACCAATCAACAGTTCTGACTTCCAGCACTGCCAGATTTCCCAAGCAGGTAGAACTTGCACTTGACAGCATAGGTCAAACCTCAAGTGTTACTAAACACAGACCCTCTCTGAGGCAAGAGGAATTCCAGGCCTCCAGCTCCAGCAGGAGTGTCCTGGTGAACATCAGGCTGAAAACAAGCAGTCAGCTCTGCAGGTGAATAAAACAGCACCTGGGGAGGCTTGTTCTATTCACCTTCGGAGGGTGGCCTGCCCAAATTCCTCTCAAGAGTTTCCAGCGAAGTCAGAATAGTTGCTTCTTCTCAGGAAATGCTGACTAGAAAAAAAAATGCTTTTAAGTCACATATGTAAGTTTATTCCAGTAGTTTCACCAGTGAGCTGAGAAACGGGGGAGCCGAAAGAGCACATCTGACACCAGCAGTGCTGCTCTCATGGCCTGGAGGAAACGGGCTGGCCCTGAAACATTCTGTCAAACATTTTAAAACAAATTTGAACTGAGAGCCTGGAACTAGGCTAGGCACGACCCAAACCTCAAAAACAGCAGAACAATTCTTGCTACCACCCAAACATGCAGCAAGGACAGCTCCTGCTTTTTCGGCCTTTGCAAATTCCATTTGTATTTTGCAACATTAGGTAGATTTTACACACACACAGAGAATGTTTTGTACAAATCAGATTAAAGCCCAGGCCCTTCCCAGTCTACCCTGAGCACCCTCAGAGCTTTCAGGACCGCAAATTTTTGGGGTGTGGGGTGAACGGCTGGGAAGAGGCCCAACTGATACAAAGGCCCAACGAGTGATGATAGAACAATCCATGCACACATCACTTAGAGAGATACCCAACAGCCACTTCAGCATCCCAGGAAGTGAACACCTAGAAAAGAACATGTTGCTCTGCACTGAGATGGGAGCAGAGAAAAAGAGAGAACGGTGCTCCCTAGGGCTGAACGACAGCTTTGTTACTTGTCTGGCTTGAAACCCTCCCCCCGCGGCCCGGGGCAGGCGCAGCGGCACTCACTGTGCTGGAAGCCGGGCCCCTGGTGCACGCCCTGCAACAGCGTCAGGATCTCCCGCGCCGTCTGCTCCAGCGCCTGCACCACCTTCCGGATCTCCTGTGGGCACAGCGCGCCGTCAGCCGCGCCACCGCCCCAGCCCCTCCCGGCGCCCGCCCCGGCCCTCTCCCGTGCCCCCCGGCACCTCTCGGATGTCCTGGTCCTGGCCGAGCGCTCCCTGCAGCGCCGCGAACATGTCGCTCACCGACATGGCGGCGCCGCCTCTCCCGCCCGCGGGGCCTCTCGCCGCCCCGCGCGCCGCCTCAGCGCCCGCGACGGGCTGCCCGCGCACCGCCTGAACGGCCCGAGCAGCCGGGAGGGGCGGCTCGGGCGCGCTGCCCGACCCAGGGAGAGAACTGGTGTCCCCGGGGAGGGAGTCGCTGGCCCCGGCGGTGCTGGTGTCCGTGCCCGTGTGCGCGTCCCGGAGCGGCGGGGCCGGGCCGGGCCCGGCGGGGCCGCGCGAGGGCCTCGTTGCTGGGAGACGGCGTCCGGCCGCGCGGCGCCGGCGCGAGAGCAGTGACGCCCTTCCGGCGGAGGCAGCATGGCGGACACGGCGGCTGAGGCCGTGAAGGCCCCGCCGCTCCTGGCGCTGGAGCCGCGGCTGCAGCGCGAGTTCCAGCAGAAGGTGCAGCGGTCCCGCAACAAGCGGGCGGCCAAGGTGAGTGGCGCGGCGCGGCGCGGCGCGGCGGGGGTGGCGCGGCGCGGCGGGGCGGGTCCCCTCTCGGTCTGACGCGGCCGCGCTGTGCCCGCAGGAGGAGCTGACGCCCGGCGTGGTGTTCGTGGGGCACCTCCCGCGGGGCCTCTGCGAGCCGCAGCTCCGCGAGTACTTCGGGCAGTTCGGGACGGTGACGCGGCTCCGGCTCTCCAGGAGTAAGAAGGTGAGTGAGAAACTGCGGCTGCCGCCCGAGCCGGGCCGGGCGGCGGAGCCCTCAAACCCGGTCGCCTGCGGCTGGACCGGGCGGGCTCTGTAACACCCGGGCTCCCTCCTTGAGCCAGCGGCCACGCCCGGAGGCTCCTCCGCAGCCCCCTCCGCCTGTGCCCCACGTGGGACGCGGCGTTCCCGGTAGCGCCGGGCTCTGCCCCCGACCGCGCACGGGCGGCTCGGCCGCGACTCCTGCGGCCCGTTTTCCGTAAGTAAATTCTCTCCTGTGGGGGATGTTGCCAGAGCGCACCAGTTCGTGAGACGTCGCGAAACGTCACTATTCTGCTCTAGGTTTCTTGTTGCTTTGTGTTCAATTATTCTTCTCGTTTCTGGATTTGCCATCACGTTATGAGGCTGCTGTATAAGCAAAACAGTAGCCGTGAGGGGCAGCTGTGTTTTTTAACAAGTATGTGCTGGTGAGCTGTTTATTTCATGTACAAACACGTATTTTACAAATAACATAATACCAATTTAGGCCTAAACCTGGTGCTTTTCGTTATTTCACTGAACTTTTTGAAATTACTTGTGTTTAGCTGGTGAGGGGTTATGACTTTGAGAGAATAAAATAATTTTGATAGAGCTTTTCGGGTACCAAAGCATTGTTTCAGGTTTATCTCTGTCGTCACTCACAGACTGGAGGCAGCAAAGGCTACGCATTTATAGAGTTTGAGTGTGATGACGTGGCCAAGATTGTTGCAGACACAATGAACAACTACCTGTTTTCTGAAAGACTGCTCAAGTGTAAGTATAAGCTGAAGTGTAAGTCCTCTAATGGGGAAAGGAAATTCGGAGGTATTTCCGCTATTTTTTTCAGACTGTTCATAGAACCTTAGGGGTTTTTTATGAAGTTTTTTCCCAGAAGTATTTTCTGTGGGATTAAGCCATCCTTCCTTCCTTTCTTTTCTTCATGTATAAAGAAGATTCTCCGCAGCCCTTTGGTCAGCACTGCTGTTTTTAACTCTGGGCTGATAATGCTCACGGTGTGATTCTGTAACCTGAAATCTCAGGGAATGGTTGGGTTTGCTGTGGAGGCAGCAAATGTGGAAACTCCTCGTTGTTTGTAACTGTTGCAGCTGTTGTCTGTAAGGTCAGACATAAGGGGCTTTTTTGATTACAAGATTAATGAAATCAGTGAGTTTCTCAGATGCGGTGACAGTAACACTTGCTTTGTAAAGAATTATGAGCTGTGTGTTGTTGTAAAACAATTATCTGTGATTTCTCTGGGTGAAACTGAAGTGTTCTTTCCATCCATCCTTCATCAGTTCTCCCAGTGACTGAGTGTTCAGTTACATGTTCTGTGTTGCTCAGATGCTGCACCGCTGACAGCGTTGTCACAAGGAGTGAGCGGCGTTGTGTGGGTGTGTCTGGGGGGAAGGGGAGCTCTGCTGTGACCTCCTGTCCCGTGTTTGTGGTGCAGGTCAGTTCTTACCTCCTGAAAGGGTCCATGAGGACCTCTTCAAAGGCTGTGACAAAATATTCCGGAAGCCTTCCCAGCCGGCGGTCCGGCGGTACAACAGGATCCGCTCCCTGGTGGAGAAGGCCAGGATGACACAGCGCCTGCTGCGGAAGGAGAGGCTCTTACGGAAGAGGCTGGCTGAAAAGGGGCTCGATTATGACTTCCCAGGATTTGTAAGTTTGGCGCCATTTCCATGAGTGTTTTGTGCAAAATGTGTTTCTAGGGCTGTGCTAAATACAAGAAAATCACCTGTCTTGTGTGGAACTGGCAAAAGTGCTGGAGCCTCGGGGAGGTACAAGCAGTTAGACCTTCTGTGGCTTAGTACTGGAGTGCAGTTCACTGGAGAGCAGCAGGGGCTTTGCCTGAGCCCTGTGGGAGGCTTTGGCAGGGTGGAGTTTGAAGGCAGGTCCCAAGCCCAGAGCTTCCATCCATAGACCCTGCCCACACTAACCGGGATGTCACTCCTCTGCAGGGGGCTTGGGTCAAGAGCTTGAGTTGTAAGCAATGCTGTTTAACATGGTGTGGTTTTAAAAATGCACAGGAGCAGCTTTTCTTGTGTTGCTTTGGGTGTTTTTGTTCAAACCAGATCACCTCTGTGTCAATCTATTTACTGTAACAAAGAAACCTGTGAACTGTTAGGTGACTGTTTGCAACTTCACACAAGGAAGTTTGTAGTGATCCACCTAATCTGTCTTACTTCCTAGGCTACACAGGCCCTTTGCAAAGAGAGGAAAAAAGTTAAAACATCCAAGAAATCAAAACTGAACGTTTCTTTGACCAGCCAGGTAAGACGGACTGACTGGTCCTGGTGGTGTCCAGTACCACACTCTGCCATTCACACCAGGGCAGATGTTTCAAGTCTGCAACTGGCATCTTCATCTTGATATCAAAAACCTTGACATTGTTTGCTTGAGAGATTTTTGTGCCAGTAGCTCCTTTGAGATATATTAACACTCTTGAACAAGGGAGGGCGGTTGAATCATCTCGGTTCTTTCTCCCATGGGAGTGTTCAGCAGCAAGGGCTTCTGCTCAGTATCTTGTAACCAGCAATGCCCATCCCATGGTGCCCCCAGGTAGTGGTGGGTCTGCTGTCAAACTTGGCTGTTCAGCACTCACTCTGCTGGGGACAGGCACCTGTACACCACCTACACCTGTGCTTTAACCTGTATGAAATGATCTGGTATCCTGCTGTTGGTTTGCCCTGTGTTACAGCATCAGCCTGTTTTGGAAAAAAGGAGGTTGAATTGTGAACAGTCTAGTGCAGTGTGTCCCCATTTACATACTGTGCTGTCCCTTCTACCCCGTGCTATTCAGGCATGGTATTTGGTGTTTTGGAAACAAATGCCAGCTAAGAGCAGCATTAGGATGAAAGGGAAATTCAGGTCATCAGGACTGAGATTTGGGATACTGACAGTCTAAAAAGGTCTGTAAGATTTTGTTTCATCACTGTTGTGAGTTGGGTTTTTTTGTTTGTTTGTTTTATTTTGAATGTTGCTGGATTTACTTGTAATAATTGGGACATGGCTGATTGTGAGGGATAACTTGTACATTCTGTCAGCTGAGTTCTGAGGTCTTACTGAGATAACAAAGATGGGATGTTTCAGCTCTGCTGGGGGGTTGATTGTGGAATTTCTGTGTGCCAGTCTCAGATATACTTCCCCCCGTCACCCTGATTCTTTTCCTCTTGGCTTTCATGGTGCTTTGAGTCAGGAGATACAAAGCTTAAAAAGCAAATGTGCATAATGACTTGTTAGAAAATGTAAATTAATTTACATTTGTCTTTTACATACACTTTTTTGAAGGTGACACTTTTGTCTGAAGAAATAACATCTAAAAAATAACTGGTTATAAAAAAAACCAATTTTCCTTAACATGTGGAAATTCTGAAGGAGAGGTGGACTGAGATGCCTTGTGGTAGTGCAGGAGCAGTGACAACTTTCTCTGGCAGGTGGCTTTGCAGTGAATCATGTTTTTCTGATCTCTTCAGGATCCTACTCCAGTCTGTACTCCTGCAGTGCTCGAGCGCCGGAAAGCTGCTCAGCTGGATGATGATGCAGAGGATGATGAAGTAACTCTCCGACTGCCCCCTGCCAGTGTTAAGAACACTGTGCAGAGGCCAAAGAAGCAGCCAAGGAAAAGACCGAACCTGAATATACAGAAATAGACTTAAAATTTTAGGGGCTATAGCCGTGTTTTCCCTCAACTTAAAAACTGTTGAGGTGGACCTTCTAGTGGTTCTGCTGCCCTGGCTCTGTTCATCCTGACTAGACTGTTTAGTCTTTCCTAGGCAAGGACTGTTCACAAATCCTCCCCTCTTCTGTAGCCATCAGAAGACCTATGGCCTTCTCTGCCTTTGAAGATTTTCTTGACTTTGTGCTCACAAGTGCCCGTGCTGTGACATGGCTACAGTCGTGCCGGAACCTTCAGTTAATTTTGTAACTTGACTCTAGTGCTCACTATTTGGAAAGAAAATGTGAGGCTGTCCATTCAGAGCTTGCTGAGGAAAGCAAATGTATCTTAGATTTATAATTAATGATAGGTTATTAAAAAAAACACCATTTTTCAACTTTGTTGGCTCTGGTAGTGGTTCTTCTGTTTAACCCACTGTCTGTGTTTCTTGTGAATTCTCACATTTTGGACAAATACAGGGCAAGAGATTTTTTTTTTCCCCCAAGGAAGACATTCCATGAGTTTCATCTCGTGTTTGTGATTAGTCAAGATCTGCCTGTACTGTCTAGGGCAGAGGTAGAATACCACAGTGCCTGAGCAAGCCAGTGCCTTTCAGCCCTACTTTCAGCAATGCCTGGGAAACTGCCTTTGCCAGAATATGGAGTGGTTGCAGACAGCTTGGAAAGGCCTTGGATTAGGAAGATGGGGAGAAGAGACAGAATCAGATGGCTCAAGTCACTCACATTCAAGATTCCCATTCCTTTCACTGTGCAGGCCAAAGATTAGTGTTTGAGTGTCACCCACCACAGGGTGACAGAGCTGGTGGCTGGTGGCTCAGCCAGAGTCACATTCATTCCTCACCCACTTCTGTAAAAGGCATTTCACTCTGCAGAGGTCCCAGGTGGCTCCTGCTGACGTACTGCTTTACCTCGGGGCTGGCCATGCAAAGGTAGCTCCAGGGTTTTGTGTGCCACAAATGTGCTGTTGCCTGGTTCAGAAAATATTCAAGGGCCTGCGAAGTGTGGCTGCTTTTAGGAGGGCTTCTTGCTGAGCTGTAGAGAGGAGCAAATGGTGACAACTAGCTTAGATAAAGCTGTTCTTAGGGTGAGCCAGGCTCTAAGAAGATGCATCAGTAATCAGAGCAGTCTGGGTTCTATTGGCAGTTCTGTTGTCCCTGCAGCACCTCGTCCCTGCATTTTAGTTTCACTGCCTGCATGAAACAAGGGTATCTTCTGCTTCAGGGGGCAATAAGCACATTGCAATATTGCAATAAACATCTGGGTGGGTGAAACAGGAGTGGGAAGGCAGGTTTTGTATGAATTCAGAGAACTGAGTGTAGCTTTTTGTTCTGCATTAAGATTTATTTTTGTTCCAGCTAGCTTGTCATAGAGCTGATGGCAGATATCCAGTCCTGTTTGAAAAGGCAGTTTGACTGTGAACTTAGAATTTGGATTTTATTGCAAATCTGAGACCTGTAGGAATTCCAGTTTGGGTTCTGTGGCACTTACTTAGCCATGATCTTTTGTTGTCTGAGATTAAACACTCTCTGCTGCTGTTGGCTGCAGGTCAGGTTTGGCAGAAGGTTTCAGAGGAAAGCCCAGGTGATAATAACTGGCTGCTCAGGTAGGTGGCTGGCACTAATTCCCTGGCTATTTTAAGACTGGAGTCCTGGCAGAGGAGGACAAATCTAAACAATTGGCCTGGCTAATCCTGATTTATCCATCCTGATCACTTGAATAGTTGTGAGGTTGTAATAACATTCTCTTGGTGACTCAAATTAGACCATTCTCCGTTGTCACCCTAAACTGTCGAGGAAGCCACTTGGGTGAGTGTGTCTTTATGTCAAACACTTGTCACCTTGGGCATGCCAGAGAAATCAGTTCACCGGCCCACTGGTCATGGACACTCCTTACCTTTTAATAGTGTTGCTGTGTACATCTGCAGGCTTTCTTCCCTCTGCATTGTTTGATGTGAAACAGGCAGTGCTTGCACCTCAAATCTGTGGAAAATACATCCTCAGCTAAGATGTGAGATACACGGGATCAGAAATTGCTTATCTGTTCGTAACTGATGTGCAGCTCTGCAAGAACTTCTAGCTTGACATCATACAGCTGAGAGCAGCAGAAAAAAAAAAAGCAATTTCTTTTAAAATCCATGTTCCTAACTTTGTGTTGGGCCAATAAAGATGGCTGTTGGGTCAGGAAGAACTAGAAATGTGGCTGGACTTTCTCCTGCCGGGAGCTGAATCTCTCGGGCACAGCCTGACACCGGGGGGCAGCATGCCTCAGCTGTGGACTTATGCTGCAGGACAAGGTTTCCTGGGAAATGACGGTCGGCTGTATGAAGAAACCCGTCTTGTCCAGGCAGTTTGGAGTGACTGGCTGCGTTGGTGTGACTCATGTGTCTCTAACGAGGTTTAAGAACATATGAGAAACCTGGTATGGATCTTAATCAAATATGCCCATTTCTGTGGTGCTACTCCTTCCTAGGCTGTTGAGTTAAAGATGCTCTTAAGAGAACTTAAGTTTATCTAGAGTAACTTCTCCAGTGCAGTTTCCTGTTCACCAAAGCCTGGACATCCCCCTTCCTATGCTTCCCATTCCAACCCTTTGGCCTGCATTTTGAACCCAGAGTTGCATTGTTCCTGCTTTGCTTTTGTTGCTGTGCTCCTCTCTGTGCCCACTGTTCTGCCCCTGCCGTGTCCACTTGTGGCTGTCTTCTGTGTTTGACTCAGTGGATTCTTTTCATGCCGCTTGCAGTGCCAGGGCTATCCTGTCTGGCTGCATGAGCTTCCAGGGGCTTTGGCTTCTGCAGGTCTCTTGGACAGGTTTGTTCCTTTAAGCCAATACCCTGGCTGCTGCTGACTCTCCATGTTCACATAGCAGTGTGAGCCTTGATGGGAAGACATTCAAGAAAGCTGTGCTTACAATAAGGTTGCTTCCTGCTGTAATTTTCCTTTCCCTTCCTTTTGTTTGTTCATCTTCCTTCAATTGAGATCAGCTTAGATGGCAGTTCTGAAAAGCAAGGAAACAAAATTCTGTTTTGTTTGAGTAAAGCACAACAATATCCAGGCTACAGCAAGGAACTCTGGGCAGAAGGGCAGCTTTTCTTGGTGATAGGTTCTGTTTTTAGGCTGCCTGTGTTATTAATATACTGCTGTCCAGGGAGATGTACGTAAGCAGAAATTCAGACACCTGATACTTGCCAAACATAGTTTCCATAGCAAGTGGACAGACATGCTGTGTCATGAGTTATGCCTCAGTGCCTGCACTGATTTTATTTTCTCATCTCTGCAGTCGTTTGATCATTCATCTTGGACAAACACAAACCTCCTGGCCACTGATTTTAGGGCAGGCTCTGAGTTGTTTTTACTGGGATGCTAGGAGTGTTGGGGCTGTGGGTTCAAGGCATGACTTGCAAGTTCTCTGCCTTTCAGTAATGAATGACTTTGTGGAGCTGTTTTGCTGAACACTTACGTATGTATTACTGTTTTCAAGCTTCAAAAACACATGCTAGCCAAGCCTGCTAATTTACACTCATTTATTTTAATTTCTCTGTTTTGCAGGAGGGGAAGCTGGTTTTAAGAGTGCTTAGTATTTCCCAGCACATGAAGTACTGGAAGTATAAGAAATATGGGGGTTGGGGAGGGTGGGGGAGAAAAGCAGAATTGGCTGCGAGATAGAGGGGAGAAAGGAATGATGAAGCCAATGTTCACCTCTCAAGAAAAAGGCACTGGTGCATTGGCAATGTTAGACTGCTCAAAATTAAAGATGCAGTTTTATGTTTCCTTACTTGTTTTGCCTGTCAGATGTGCTGTGGGATGCCCAGGCTGCACAGAGCATAAGGAGTGTGCTGCAACCACGGTCCAAGTGCTGGTGCTTGCTCATGATCAGAGTGGAGGAGCAGAGCTGGCTGGGCAAGTGACACTTGCTCTTGCCAGTATCAAGCCTGTTTGCTTGCATACCTGGCTTTTCAAAAGGCTGCAGCCCTGAGGAACAAGGTTAAAACCTGCCTGCAAATAGCTCATGGTGCAAGGGAGGACCTGGGCATGGCTCTGAGGGGTGACACGCTCTCCTCTCGAGTAACGCACCAGCGAGGCAGAGGGTACCTCTAGCAAATTCCCCCTCTCCCAGCTTTCCCTTTGGAGTGTTGGGATGTTTGGTTCTCACTTTGCTGTAGGATGCAGCTGCCTGGGGTAGGGCTGTGCTGTGTGAGGTGCTGTGCACATCCCTGCCCTGGGCAGGGTGTTTCAGGTGAAAGCTGGACAAGCAAGTAACAGGAGTAGAGTGAATGCGATCTCCATTATGTGTTTTCCAGGAATACCCATGAGTCCTCTTGGACCAGGCTCCTTCATTGTCCAAGACACTGTTCAAATACATCCTGTTTTCCTGACTTTACAATCTAACCCCCAAATTCTTGAAATGTTCAACTCTAGGCAGCAATAATCTGCACCTTCTTAGCCAGAGACATGTTGGGGACCACCCCAGGGTGCTGCTGGAACAGTGGGGAGGCCATTCTGAGCTGCTGCCTGGCATGGCTAATGCAGGCACATCCCTCCCCGCAAAGGCCAGCAGCTGTCAGAGCAAGCTGAAGAAATGGCTAACTGTGTGAGTGAGAATTCTTAAAGTGAAACACTTTCTCCCATGCAGAGTACAGCAAGGCCTCTCATCACTTCTCCCACCCAGCATTAATTAAGCATATGGCAGAGGCAGAGATCTTGACTGTCCTGGGAACCTTGGACTAGTTGTGGTCAGTACTCATGTGGCTCTTCTGTGCTGGCAAAGGATAAACTACACAGAAGCTCCTACATAAATCTTGGCTCTGAATGAGGAAGAAAATGCTGGTTTATAATTATCTTCAAATTTGTTGCTGAAGAGAGCAGGCAGGATTGGGAGGATGAACACTGCAGGACTTTGAGACAGTAAGGCACTGGGGTCACTTCCTTTCCCTGGTTGCACGTTTGACCCTGCACTTGACCCATTACATGGAGTCTAGGGCCTGGCCTGGATTTGAAACTTGTTGTTTTAAAGAACAGGAAGGAAAAAAAAAAATCTGGATTTTACGGTCGTGATTTTGGAAAGCCCTGCCCTGTTTTTTTCTGTGCATTTTTCCAGTGCTGACTGAGAGGAGGCTTGGTGAGCAGCTACAGACCTGGAAATCAGGCTGCTTGCTCTGCAGTGTGGCGTTGCTGCCAGTTTCCCACAAGGGCTTGCACAAACCCAGCAAGTTTGCATGTGTGTTGTTTTTTTTAAAAAAAGCAGAGAAGTAAGTTGCTTCTGTCAGAGTGGCTTCGCAAGGCTGAAAGCATTGCACCATTTTGAGAGTGAAGGCAGTACTTTGCCTCTCGCTCCTGTACTCAGTTACTGTTTCTCACAGAAGGCAGTCTGCAGTGGGGGGTGAG